TGCTATTAGTAGCATACAATTAAACAGAAAGAAAAAGACAAATTTTGCTCAACTCAAAAAGAAAAAGTATAGTTGGGGGATTTAATTTTACTTTGGGAAGGGAAAAAACAAATTGTTTAAATAGGGATACAGGTGGACCCATTGCAACAATGAGATGTGCAAGATGTTATGTCGAAAACCAAACTGTAAGCCGGGCGCCAGTGGCTCACGCCTGTAATCTTAGCTACTCAGGAGGCTGAGATCTGAGGATCAAGGTTCAAAGCCAGCCCGGGCAGGAAAGACCCTAAGACTCCTATCTCCAATAAACCACTAGAAAACCTGAAGTGACACTGTAGCTCAAGTGGTAGAGCACTCACCTTGAGCTGAAGAGCTGAGGGACAGCGTCCAAGCCCAGAGTTCAAGCCCCATGACCGACAAAAAAAGAAAAAGAAAACCAAACTTAACAACTTTGGGGCGGGGGAGGGCGGGCAGATGGGCAGAGATGGGAAGGGGAAACAAAGGAGGAGGCAACAATGCTTGATAAGAAATGTACTCATTACCTTGCTCTTGTAACCCCTCTGAACAGTATTTCCACAATGAAAAAAAGAAAAAGTATAAAATGTAGGGTTTTGGGTTTTTTTTTTTTGCCAGTCTTGGGTCTTGAACTCTATCACTATGCCACATTCCCAGCCCCTTTTTTTTTGTGAAATGACTAAGCTTCTAAATTATTGGTTTCCCTACCCAGCCACCCAGCACCTGGAATTGTACACAATCAAATGATTTAAGTGTAAAATATTACTGTTAAACTGTTGAATTTACCATAGCAAAAAATATAGTTTATAACCTTTGGTTACAAATAGATTTGACTATCATTCACCAAATATTTCCTTTCTCTCTCTGTCTCTCTCTCTCTGTCTCTCTCTCTCTCCTTTCCTTCTTTCCTCCCTTCCTCCCTCCTTCCCTCCCTTCCTTCCTTTCTATGTGGGTCATGGGGCCTGAACTCTGGACTGGGTACTATCCCTCAGCTCTTCAGCTCAAGGCTAGCACTCTACCACTTGAGCCACAGTGCCACGTCCAGCTTTTTCTGCTTAGGTAGTTCTGAGGAACTGAACCCAGGGCCTCATGTATGCAAGGCAAGCACACTACCACTGAATTATCTTCCCAGCCTTCATTCACCAAATATTTCTGAGCAGCTACTAATATGCTTAATGTTATGCTAGGCAATGAAGAAGAAATGAATAAAGATTATCTTCATGTAACTTTGCACTCTACTGTGAAAAACAGATTAAAGCATACATTAAAAAAATAAGAATTATAAATGTGGTAAATGCTATATGAGTAATAAAGAGAACTTAGCCACTGATTACAGTCTTTGAAAACTGAATTGTAGAATTCTAAGAGACCTAAAAATAAATAATTCATGAAGACTTACATCAACATAATGTAGATTGTACAGACCTTTGCTAATGCATGGGAAAACTACAAACACTGAACATGAACACTGAGATTAATCTTTCAATGTCAAAGCTATGGGATGGTAATGTTTACCAATATAGGAACCTCAAAAGATAATTAACCTCACCACTCCACTGAGCAAAAAGCATGTAAACACAATCCTAGAGAAATGGGAAGTGGAGCCTAAAGGAAACATGAGAACTTAATGTGTTATCCTGAAAGAAAAGCTGAAAAAGAAAAGGACATTAGGTGAACACTAAAGAAAACTCAATAACATATATTTTAGTTTACAAAACACCAATATTGGTCCACTAATTGTAACACATGGGTCATACTAATATATTAATTGGAAACTGGGTGTAGCAGTATATGGGAATCCTCTGTACTATTTTCTTTTCAATTTTTCTGCAAATTCAAAACTGCTTTAAAAAAAAAAAGAGTACACATACTTTTACTTCAAACAAAGCTTTAGGAATTACCTAGGAAGTGGAAAGGAGGAAAGGAACTAGTAAAAATTTAAACAAAGTAAGAACTGTCAGTACTGGGGCTGGGAAGGTGGCTCGTTGGTAGAGTGCTTGCCTTGCATGCATGAGGCCCTGGGTTTGATTCCTCATAGCCAAAAGTGGCACTGTGGCTCAAGTGGAAAGCTCTAGCCTTGAGCTGAAAAGCTGAGGGACAGTGTGCACAGGCCCAGAGTTCAGACCACACAACTGACTAAAAGAAAAAAGAAATGTCAATACCTGTTAGGCTGAGGCAGGATGTTAAGTTAGAGGCAAGTCTGAGCTATATTGGAAGAACATTTCCAAACAGAAATGGGAAAGAAAGAAGAGTAAGAAATAAACCATTAAAAAATAAAAGCCTACAAATACTTAAAAGTCAAAATTATTCATCTTAAAAACTCATGCCTGTAATCACAGCTACTCAGGAAGCTAAAAATCTAACGATCTTGGTTTGAAGCAAAACCACGAAGAAAAGGTGGAAGTGGAAAGCAGAAAGCTGGAAGTGGAGGTATGGCTCAAATGGTAGTGTCAAGTAAAAGCCAATGAGAGCAGCCCTGAGTTCAAGTCCAAATAAGGGCAAAAACAACAACCCTGGGCTCTGATGGCCCATGCCTGTAATCCTAGTTATCCAGGAGCTGAGATCTAAGAATCACAGTTCAAAGCCAGCTCAGGCAGGAAAGTCCATGAGGCTCTTGTCTCCAATTAGTCACCAGAAAACCAGAAGTGGTGCTGTGGCTCAAAGTGGCAGAGCACTAGCCTTGAATAAAAGAACTCAAGGACAGGGGCTGGGAAGGTGGCTCAGTGGTAGAGTGCTTGCCTTGCATGCATGAGGCCCTGGGTTCGATTTCTCAGCACCACACAAGCAGAAAAAAGCTGGAAGTGGCCGGGCGCTGGTGGCTCACGCCTGTAATCCTAGCTACTCAGGAGGCTGAGATCTGAGGATCGAGGTTCAAAGCCAGCCCGGGCAGGAGAGACCGTGAGACTCCTATCTCCAATAAACCACCAGAAAACCGGAAGTGGCACTGTAGCTCAAGTGGTAGAGCGCTTGCCTTGAGCTGAAAGCTGAGGGACAGCGGCCAGGCCCAGAGTTCAAGCCCCACGACCAACAAAAAAAAAAAAAAGCTGGAAGTGGCGCTGTGGCTCAAGTGGTAGAGCACTAGCCTTGAGCTAAAGAGCTGAGGGACAGTGCCCAGGCCCAGAGTTCGGGCCCCACAACTGGCAAAAAAAAAAAAAGAACTCAAGGACAGCACCCAGGTCCTGAGTTCAAGCCCTATGACCAAACAAAAAACAAAAAACAAATCCCACAAATGCAGGTAGTAATATTCCGTGAGTGCTCAAATAACACGGTAGAGCCAACATCAATAATGTTCAGTAAGCTATGTTTTATGTATAGCACTGTCCTGAAATTGTTACATATTAATAGCTGGGTCAGGATCAATTCCATAGGTTCCATTAACCTATTCACCTAAGGAAACAAGTTTATGCTTCAGAAAAATGCATGAGAAAAATGACCATTCAGTGTGTAGGGGGAAGTCAATCTAAATGAAAGAAAAATGATTTCCTAACTATGGTGGAGGCAATTTTGCAACTAGTATTAACCTGTTCTAATATTATCAAACTAGTATAAACAATCTAAGCTAATAGTAAAACCTAGGAATTTATATTAGTCATATGCCTCTCAGTTAAAACAAGTAACTAATGTTTTGTATGATGTCACCTTGGACATCTAATAGGTATCTGATGTTTGATGACTTGGAACTATTCTCTCAATGTTTAAAATTTAAAGATAGTCGTGAAAATTATGAGGAAAAACATAAATGATAATCCCTGAATTGCTGCCAAATTTGTATAACAACATAAAACTGCTATTACTGTAAAAAGTAATCTTACAGACAACAATCACAAAATCAGGATCTTATGTCTAAGACAAAGTACTGCAACCCTGACTAGGTAAACATTAATAACTCCACTCCATCAGATCCTGAAATATTAGGCATAAAGTAATAATTTAATTCAAATGATATTTAAAATCTAATTTAAATAATAAATCAACACTACTCTACTGTCCAAAGGAAATCTTTCCCCCCAAAATGTTCATTATCCTTAGCTTTCTCTCACGTGAATCTTAAAATATGTAATTAAAAGTACTTAAGAAGAAATTAATAACACCCCCCCCCCATAATTCCTGCTTGCATCAGAGCAGGAAGAGAATCTATGGCTGTTTCTTGCTGAAGCGAGGGAAAAAAAAAAAAGAGGTGAGATGTGAAAAATTCCAAGTAAAACGATCGTGACATAGCATCTGGCAGACATCGAAAAGACATCAACACTGCCAAAAAGAATCGTCAATGATCAAAGTGAAGAAAAACCCACAACCCAACCTAAGGGGTAACAATCGCCACTGTCAACGCCAACCCGACTCTCACAAGTCGCCTCCAATTCAGACCATATGTACGTATACACACACACACACACACACACACACATATATATATATTAATTGACTGTATAACTCAGACTAATTCCCTATCAATGTGCAAACCCACCACTTCCCACCTTCCAAAAAGAGATCTGCACACCCCAGGGCCAAGCCTCGGATGGAAAACAACGCCCAGCTCCCACCCCCCTTGCCCAAGGTTGAAGGGGGCCCGTTCCTAGGAGTGAGGCATCCCGGGAGTGGGCCTCGCATCGCCAACGAACCGGAAGAGAGCGTGGTATGAGGGTGGGGTACAGGAGACCCTGGAGAGCAGAGGAAGAAAGGGATGGGTGGACAGCAGGCCGGGGGTGGGGGGGTGGGTGCGCCATCAAGAGGGAGGGAAGGAGGGAGGAGGAGCTGGGCTGCGGGGACCGAGGGGACAGCGAACGGGCGACGTCAAGAGACCCAAAGGCCGAGATCAAAACCCGATGGATCCCCCGCGAGGCGGAGCCGGCGAGCCCCGGGGAAGGGCTGAGCTGGAACGGGGCGCGGACGCGAGGGCGGCGGAGAGCCTCCGCGGACGGGGGGCCGCACTAGGGGCGGTGCGGGGAGGCCGCGGACGGCGGCCAGGAGAGGGGGCGCCGCGCACTCACCGCTCTGCTCCCCCAGGAACACCAGCTTGAATTTCCTCAGCGGATTCCCGAAGTCTCCGCCCGCGGACATGATGGAACCGAAGGAGCTGCCGCCGCCTCAGCCCAGAGACCTCCCGGACCGATACCGCTCCAACCCGCGGAGAAGGGCGGGCGCCGAGCTCTCCCGGCCCCTGCAGGACCGGGCCGAGAAGCAAGGCTGGAGGGCGCAGGACTCTCCACAGACCGGTAGCCGCCGCCTCCCCGCAGAGTCGCCGAGCACCGAGCGCCTGAGGCCCGCGGCTGCGAAGGGCAGGAGGGCGGTGTCGGAGGCAGCCAGCGGTGCGCTCCGGCTTCGCGAGGCTGGGCCGTTCCTTCCCTTGGCACTCCGTGCCCAGACTGGAGTGAGACAGGCGGAGGGTGGCGGGGCCGGCGCCGCAGAAGTGTCTGGGATCTTTCACAGGCAGCACCCCGAGCTCCCTCAGCTGCCGCCGCCGCAGCCCAACCTGCTGAGTGCGCGAGCCCGGGCACGAGCCTGCCGCCCTGCCGGCCGACGGCGTGCGTGCGTGTGCGTGCGCGTGCGCGCCACATACAGCGCCTTCCTGGTCTCGCCCGCTCTCCCGGCTCCTCTCGCTCCTCCCACTCAGCGAATTCCATGCAGGTTAGGTTTCCACTTGCGTTGGGAGAAGCCATAAGAGGGCGGGGCAGAGTCAGGGTAAGTGGGAGGGAAGGATAGGCAGGGTGGAAAATGGGGCATTTAACGTCACTCACACAGTGGGCCAATCGGAGGAGACTGAGAGCGGGCAGCGACGAGAATGAGGTGGCGGCGCGGGAGCGCGCCCGGGCGCGCGCGCGCGCGACCCTCGAACCTTAGAAAATGGAGTATCCTGGCGGCCATGCGAAGTGTGGCGCGTCGCCGCCTGAGGGGGAGGAGGGAAGAGGAAAAAGAAGGTAGCGAGGAGGCGGAATCCTGACGGAGGTGGAATGACCACATCAGTTCGTGGCAGGGCTGGGTAGCCTCAAAGTGTGTACTGGGTTCTTCTTTCCTCAGCCCTGGGCCCTGTGTTCACATTGCACAGATCTGCTCGTCGTCCAGCTTCTCCACCTTCTTCCTCACTGTATTCTTCACACGGCATCTTACTAGGTACATTCTCCTCTGATACTCTCTGGAGTTTTATAGCTACCAGAAGCAGAGCCTTTGTAGATGAGGAAACAAGCCCAGCGAGAGGAAATGACTTGCAGAATCCACAAAGTCACGAAATGGAGCCCACTGTTTTAATTTGAACCTTTGCTAGCTCCTTATGAATAAGCCAGCCAATTTTCCTGGCCTACCCTTGGCTTGGTTTTTTTCTGTTACCAGCCTATGCTCTCAGGTTAATAACTCCAAATGATTTCATCTTCTGCCTTTCAAGAAGTGGATTTAAACATCAAATAAGCCACACACCTCATATCACAGATGAGGAAACGGAGAACCACAAAGGGAAAGGCTGAATTAGAGTCCAAATCTGGAGAAGGGAGGTACAGTATTACAAAGATCACCTTTTCTTATTAAAGCAGTGTTTCTGAATTTGCTAGGGGTGGGCTTTCTTTAATACACGTGCTTTTTTTAATTTTTTTTTTTTTTTTTGCAAAGGGGAAAGAACCATAGCTTTCATCTTTCCATTTGGTTCATAACCCAAGAAAATGAAGGTAGAAAGGCACAAAAGAACATAAGGCCAGGCTCTGGTGGCTCACATCTGTAATCCTAGCTACTCTGGAGGCTGAGATCTGAGGATCACAGTTCAAAGCCAGCCCAAGCAAAATACTTGTGCCACCAAATGAACACTGAAAAGCCGTAAGTAGAAGCGTGGTTCAAATGGTAAACAACTAATCTTGAGGGGGAAAAAGAGACAGCTCCTAATCCCTGAGTTCATACCCCAATACCAGCACAAATAATTAAACAAGTATGACATGTTGACTAATGTGACACTACCTAACATAACTAACAATTGAACCTAAGTTTTCAACTAATGTGATCCTGGAATATAAAGTGGATATAAGGAAAATTAAATCTAAGTTGACCTTAGTTATTAACACTATTTTTTTTTCTTTTATTTTGGGTCTGGTCATGGGGCCTGAACTCTGGGCCTGGGCGCTGTCCCTCAGCTCTTCAGCTCAAGGCTAGCGCTCTACCACTTGAGCCACAGCGCCACTTCCGGCTTTTTTCTTTTTGCTTATATGGTGCTGAGGAATCAAACCCAGGGTCTCATGCATGCAAGGCATGTGCTCTACCACTGAGCCACCTTCTCAGCCCCCTATTAACACTATTGATAACAATTTATTAATTGTTACAAATGTATCCTGTTAATGTAAGTTGTATTCCTCTATTCATAGGAAATGAAAGGAGTCTATAGGAACTTTCTGAATTGCCTTTAATGTACCTATAAATCTAAAACTACTTTAAAGTCTATTGATAAAAGATACGAAGTTAAGAATTTAAATCAGAGAATTTGGCAGACACTTCAGCCATGGACCAAAAAAAGTAACTTTACCAACTGAAGAAGACTCTTTTTAGATTGGAGGTATGGTTGAAGCCATAGAGCAACAGCTCTGAACTAGAAAGCAGAGAGTAGGAGGCTCTGACTTCACTCCTTCCAATAAATTTTCATTTTAATTTTAATAATTAAAAATAAAGCCACTGTCTCACCCTTGTAATCTTGGCTACTCAAAAGGATGAGATCTGAGGATTGTCATTCAAAGCCAACCCAAACAGGAAAGTCTATGAGACTCTCATCTCCAATTAACCCTCAAAAAAAGTTGGATGTGACGGGGCTGGGAAGGTGGCTCAGTGGTAGAGCGCTTGCCTTGCAAGCCTGAGGCCCTGGGTTCGATTCCTCAGCACCATATAAGCAAAAAGAAAAAAGCCGGAAGTGGTGCTGTGGCTCAAGTGGTAGAGCACTAGCCTTGAGCTGAAGAGCTGAGGGACAGTGCCCAGGCCCAAAGTTCAGGCCCCATAACCGGACCCAAAAAAAAAAAAAAAAAAAAAAAGTTGGATGTGGACCTGTGGCTTAAGTGATTGAGCACTAGTCTTGGGCGAAAAGCTTAGGGACAGCACCCAGACCCTAAGTTCAAGTCCCAGGTCCAGCACCAAAACAAAACAAAAAAACCTTACATTGTTCACCAAACACACCTTGATACATGTCCTTATTATTTGAGGATTATTATTTACTTATCTATATGGATCAAACAAGTACCTTCTCAAACCAAAGGATGAATTAAGGTAAGGAACTGAAGTCCTTAAAATGTCATTTGTTCTTACCTATCAACAGTCTTCTCTCTGAATTTACTCCCTAGGTCTAGAAGTGTAGCTCAGTTCTAGAACACTGGACTAGCATACACATGGCCTTAGGTTCAATCTTCACCATCTCAAAAATGTGTGTGGTATGGTGTGATGTGGTATAGTGTGTGCGTGTGAGTATATGTACATCTTCCAGTTTCTCTTAGCCAAGAGGCAGGAGGCTTTTGAAACAAGCATTGAAACAAAAAAAATCAAGATCTTAAATGTGAAATGGACATTCATTTTTTTCCTTGTAATACTGAGGATTGAACTCAAGGCCTTATACTTCATAGGCAAGTTCTTTACCACTTCATCCACACCCCAAGTCATTTCTGCCTTTGTTATTTTGCAAATAGGGTCTCTATTATATGTTCTAGCCAGCCTGGACTTTAACTACCTAGTTATCCTTCCCAGGTAGCTAGAGTGACAGGCTTATGCCACTGTGTCCAGCTATTGGTTGAGCTCAAGTATTCCTTATATGTCTGATCTGACTGGACCAGTGATCCTTACAATCCCTGCCTCACAAATTCCTAGGATTATAGATGGCTGATTTTTTTGGCAGTCCCAGGGCTTGAACTCAGGGCCTGAGAAATGTCCCTGAGCTTTAGTGCTCAAGCTCCAATTCTGGCTTTTTGGTGATTAATTGGAGATAAGCATCTCAACAGACTTTGCTGCCTGGGCTGATTTTGAACCAGGATCCAACTCAGTATCCTGAATAGCTAGGATTACAGGTATAAACCACTGGCACCCAGTTGCTTTCGTTTTTAATATTTGATTTTAATCTGAGGTGGCACAAACCTGTAATCCTGGACTCAAGAGTCTGAGGCAGGAGGAGTTTAAGTTTTAAGGCTAGCTTGGGCTATATTAAAAACTCTTAAAAAGCCGGGCACCAGTGGCTCATGCCTGTAATCCTAGCTATTCAGGAGGCTGAGATGTGAGGATTGTGGTACAAAGCCAGCCCAGGCAGGAAAATCCAAGAGACTCTTATCTCCAATAAACCACTCAAAAAAACACAAGTGGAGGGCTGAGAAGATGGCTCAGTGGTAGAGCGCTTGCCTTGCATGCATGAGGCCCTGGGTTCGATTCCTCAGCACCACATAAGCAAAAAGAAAAAAGCCGGAGTGGCGCTGTGGCTCAAGTGGTAGAGTGCTAGCCTTGAGCTGAAGAGCTGAGGGACAGCACCCAGGCCCAGAGTTCAGGCCCCACAACTGGATCCAAAAAAAAAGACAAAGAAAACCACAAGTGGCTCTGTGGCTCAAGTGGTAGAGCGCTAGCCTTGAGCTGAAGAGCTGAGGGAAAGCGTCCAGGCCCAGAGTTGAAGCCCCATGCTGACCAAAAAGAAAAAAAAAAACTCTATAAAAAAAACCTTTATAAGTACATTGACATATCTGATAGGGCTCTTCCCAAACCAGTAACCCAAAACCCTTACACACAAAGAACAGCTAATACCAAGAAACTATTTTTTTAACCTCTTGCAAACAAAGTGAGTGGCAGTTTTTGGTCTCTGACAGTAACAAGTTCTCATTATATGTCCTGAAATAACCTTTAAAGTAACATCTGAGAGTTAGAACTATAATTACTTTGTACTTCCTCTAGAATTTTATGAAGTCTTCTCTGCTGCCTGTGTCTCTCAGTAGTCACCTGGACAGGTAGAGCTATTCTCTGACCTTATGTCTTAACCTTACTTTCTTCTTTCCTCCCAATCTTTTCCCTTTTATCTTTTTGTTTTTTTTTTTTTCTTTTTTGGTAAGAGACCTGGTCTTATTGTATTACCCAGGTTGACCGCAACTCCTGGCACAAGCTTTCCTGCCTCAGCATCCAGAGTGGGTGAGCCTGTAGGTACATGCCACCATGCCCCAGCTAAGCTTTCATTTTGCACTGACACATGTGCAGTTTCATTCTCCTCTGAAGCTTTCTTTGTATTTCTCAGGTACTCTGTATAAATCATGTTTTGCATTCAGAGATCTTATGGTCTGAAATCACATAAGAAGTGCTAAATGTTCAACAAACAGAAATGTTACTTTGGAAAAGAAAGAATTAGAGACCAGTTTTATTTCTTTACCTTTGCATTTTAACTGATAGATTTAAATGAAACCAAGATAAACAAAAAGTGAAAATTATTGTATTTGTACTGGCAAGAATTCAGAGAAACTCAATGTTTTGATGGCAGAAATATAAATTAGGCTATTTGTTTGGAAATCAGTTTGGTGAAATATATATATATATATATATATATATATATATATATATATATATATATATATATCAAGAACCATGTGTGTGTGTGTGTGTGTGTGTGTGTGTGTGTGTGTGTGTGTACGTGGG